CTTCATCCTCTTTGATAGATAAAGGTGAAACATGATATGTTGATAACTAAATTTTGATGTAAAACATTCCTTTTGTTAGTGTGTAGGCACTTGTTCACCTACTGTGGAGTTATTTCCCCCCTCAGGTAGGTGCAGTGTGCACAGTATGACGTGTGGCGCCTTTCTCCAAGAGACATATTCTACGAGAAGCTCAAAATGATGCTCCATGTCCTTACATTATTGAGCAAATCAAAAAATGTTGTCATTTTCTGATACATCTAGTATACTGCTTGGTTGTTTTTATTGTCAGTTGTAAATCTGCTCAAATGTGTTGTGTAGTTCTGTTGATAACAAGACTTCCTCTCCGACGTTGTTTCGCCTCATTAGTGAAACCCTCTCAGATCTCATCTCATAATAACAAACATCTTTTCTGCTGTTAGGCTCTTATCAGCTCTCTGCACTGGCTCGTGTGCTTGACAAAATTGCTAAAATATTCAAGCATCACCAAGACGACCGCTGAGTTTCTCCCCGGCCAGATCTGCACTGTCCCATTAGACGATTTCATGAGTGGCAGACTTATGTGTTCAACCATGCTGAACGCCTATAATGAGGTATATCAGCACTTCAGGGGCACCTGGCTGAGTCACGGCGGAGGCTAATTACAACAAATTTAATCTGCCGTTCCGTTAGGCTTGTTCAAAAGAGTTGTTACACTAGTGGAGAACAAAGTGAACTGCTAGGAGGCCAATTAATTTCGTTTGACCTCCAACTCAAGCCAGACACTTCTATCATGAGGATTGCACAAAGAGGCTAGTTCATATGTTTACACTTAATTTATGTTCATTATTTCATTGGCAGGAAACAGAGTGTCCGATGAGATATGTTAATTTGCTCTCAGTGGCTGTCAAATGTTGTGATTTCATTTTCCTCCATTAGCCCAAGCTGATATCAAAGCTCAGCACTCACTTTGTATCCACACTGTATATGTGTGTGCCCTATGTCTGCCCCCTGCCTCTGTCTGCACTCGTGTATTTCTCTGTGCATGACTGCCCAGTGTGTTTGCTATCAGTTTATCACAACCAGTAGAGAGCTGAGTGTCTGGCCGTGTGTCAAAAGCAGCGAAAGTGAAATCGCAGTGAAAGCAGCCGTTCCACCCGTAGGTTTTGAGGCAATGAAAACTGCTTCTGCTGCCGTGACAGCCCATAAAACCAGCAGTGGTCTATTTTCCTCTGTACAGGGGTTGGAAATGTAGTCATTGTAATAGCTGGTTTTTGAGGAACCCTTAGTCCTGAAGAGCACTGTTATCATTCAGACTTTTAGCTTGGAGAGGAAGGAAAGGAAGAGAATGAGAGAACGTGCAAGAGTATGATACTACACTGAGGCTACGACACAGACTGAGTGAAACTGAGGCAATCGAGCCATTAATGAGAGAATATCTCATCTGCCTCCGGAGATAACTGGCTGTAGCTGCCATCCTATTACCATTCAGTGTCAGGAGGAGAGAGCTGGAGAGAGCTGGATATAGATGTTATAAGACAAAGGTGGGCTGCAGTTGCTAGCCAGAGTGATAAAACCTCTCCCTGTAGGCACACACTGTCGGCGTATCTGTCATCCACAAAAGCTTTTTTTCCAGCCAGAACTGTAAAGAATAAAACATAGAGACATGATAATAAAAATGCATCTCAGGGCCTCTGTTCAGATTTGGCTCTAATTAAAAAGCATCTTGGGTGACCTTCTCACAAGTGGACGCCTCTAAAAATAGGTGTGATGCACCCAAAATGAAAAGAGGACACAGCGTGATGTCAGTGCTAATAGCTTTGCGCTAATACTGTAGCATGACAATGACTAAAACACAACAGGTTCATGAAGTAGAGGCAAGAAACTAGTCCATGGTGTCTCTTCCTGTGACTGTGTTTTAACAATGTAGCAACAGACCCATGATTCCAGCTTTGTCTTTCCTGATTTGTTTAAGTTTTTATCCAGTACGCAAATATCCACTGCAGTCTTCTTCCACTGCCCTGTGGATGAAAGCAAAGATGTATTTTTTTAGCCTCGCTAGCAGCATAGCTGGAGGATATCTCCCTCCATCTATTCAAATGAAATGAAATTCTATAAGGGCATTTGTGCTTTAAATAAAATACATTGTAATTTTCCTGTTTTGAATCCATTCCTCAGATTTGCCATTTAAAATGAAACGTGTCCAGTGTAATTGTATAGGTTTCACGAAATCACACTTGAGCACATGTTGCTCTTGAGCACTAGCAACATGATCTGTTGCTAGTGCTCAAAGGTAGAGTGAGTTGTCCACTAATTAGATTTTGAAATAGGTTCATTGTCAGACTACTTTCTTCTGCATGCTGATGATCCTTAAGCAGGAAACCTGAGCCCCCAAATTGCTCCCTCTGCTAAAGTCATCAGTGAGTGAATGTGTCTGAATGGGTTACCCCAGAAGCTGATTAGGGGGTAGACAATGTGAATGTGTGTGTGTGTGTGTGAACGAGTGAATGTCACATGTACTGTAAAGTGCTTTAAGAGGTTAGAAGACTAGAAAGGTGCTAGAAAAATCTGTACCCTTTTACACGATCCTTTTTTTTTTTTTTTTACATTTTGTCCTTGGATAGTACAGCTGAAGATAGTCAGAAAATGTGGAGGAGAGAGAGTTGGGTAGGCGTGCATAGGGTCATAGCTGGGACTCAGACTAAGCCTGCCCTTTCTGACTGAACTTTTACACCTGGTTGATACTATAAGTTGGTAACTCTGTCAAATTAAGAATGGCCATCTGAAAGGAATTTAATTATTATCAACATTTCCATTCAAAGGAAGAATGTGCCAACATTTTACAGCAGAAATCAAGTTTATCCTATGTGAACGTCTCTGTGAGACTTGACTGTCTACAGTGAGTGAGAAGTGTGACTCTCTCCAGCTATACTGTTGTCGAGCTGTGTTTATGTCATGCTTACATGGACGGGACAGCCTTGTGTTCGTAAAGCTGTTTCAGTCAAGGACTGGAGAAAAGAAGAATAACACACTCACTGTTTATTTGGATGTCACTTGAAGATCACGGTCATTCCGTGTCAGTTTATGTGCAATGTGAAGCTATGAGTTAACCAAAGTGTGCTAACATTAGCCCGCTAACACAACTATTTAGACCACAGGCAATTGCAGCTTAATGGTGCTGGTGCGTTCTAATTCATAACTCCTTCGTGCAACTCGAGTGGAGATGGTTTGGAGGTGTATCTCTGGAGGAGAGCTGTGGCTTCAGAATAACAGAGGTGTCGCCAAGCTGCAGTTTGTTTTGGTTTCATGCTGGTGCCCAAGGGCGACATCAGTTTGACTTGACTTTGTTTAAGGTTGTTAATCAGCTCTCAGAGTGAACGACTGCATTGTTAGTCTTTTAGTATGTGAGTTCTTGTGCACTCATTCATGTCTATTTACTGTGGTATCTGACAGCTTGCTGTTTAAAGAGTCACACAGCCATATGATAAGGTAGCTCTGATCTATATTTGCAAGCAGCAGATAATAAGGAGCGTACGACTTAATGATGCACACAGACACGCTGATCAATGCAGAAACTATTCAGCACTTTTTAATGAGGGATTATTGTCCCCGCTCTCTTGTTAGAGGAGGATATTGAGCTGTATCACACAAGCTGTGTTGAGTTATTTATCTGTGTTATAGATGACATTGCAAGTATCGACTGATGTTACAAATAAGCTGCAGCATATTAAGCTGCAATGCTTTAAGGAAGATTGTGAAGCCTCAGTGTTATTACTGTAGAGGAATGTCTACATCATTCCCTTTCACACAGCATCTCACATCACGAGTCCAGCACAAAAACACAAACCATGCTGTGCAGAAAAAGAATGTTTACGACTTGTTGGCATCTTCTTTTTTTATTTTCTCCCTTTGGAGCAGAATAATGCCATTTGTTTTGCGTTTAAATTTCCACACACCTTCATGTAAAAGTATTTTTTCTTATTTTTTATCTACTGTAAATCCCACCATGTATGCTCAGAATACAGTGAGAAGTAAATTCCCTTCATTTTGTTTCTGAATGTAAATCATATAAGGGGTTCTGTGCCTTGGACTCCACTTCTGGCTCTCCACCAAACTGTCAGTCTATATGGCTTATGTTTTGTTGGAAGAACATCCTAACTCCACTTACTGATAATGTATTCCTCTTTCTAACAATTCATCATGTCCTGACCTATTTTCCAAATTGCTTTGCACTCTAACTGCTCTGTGATTATAAAGGGACTGCATGCTGGACTGAAAAACATGAGGCCACAAGTTCTCGTTTACTTTGCTGACCACTTAGCAAGAACGGTGCATTTAATATTTGCGTCTGTATGTTCAGGAAAGAGCCCATACTTGCTGTTCACAAACCGGCATGAGATCCGACGGATCGATTTAGTGAAGAGGGACTACAGCCAGGTGGTGTCCACACAGAAGAACACTGTGGCTCTGGACCTGGACGTGGCCAACAACCGTGTCTTCTGGTGTGACCGCTTTCACAGGAAAATCTACAGGTAAACTATATCTATAAACAATCTGAGTTATTATGACAAACATTATTTTACTTTAGAGCAATGTCCAAAATCCAAAACTTGAGCTCAGATTTGAACACCCAACCTGGTTTTACAGTTTTGAATTGAAAATTTAAATGAATAGATTAGAACAGGTGTCCTTATTTGTGAATCGTATTAATAAAGATAAACTGTTGAGCTTTTGTTTGTATGCATTAGATGCATAAAACAGGGGAAACCATTATTTAAAACAATTGTTTGTTAACACCGGTTGACTGAGAGGTGTTGACAATATACACCAGAGTCTTTATTCACTGTAATAAGGTCTGACTGTGGAGACACACCTTTACATTCGACTCCTTACTGATGGATGTCTGGACTCCACATGTTAGTTATGTTGTTGTTGCAGTCAAAGACATCGTTTAAGTCAGAATTTTGTATCAACTGTTTTTTTTAACACAAACATTTGTTCGGTCTAATTTTATATGATTGTATTTATGACTATTTCAATACTTATTGTATTGGACTATTTGTTTTAATTTCTCTATTTTTATTCTGATCAAAATGCATGCATTGTTAATTAATTTTTCATTCCCTGTTCGTCTTACTTGGTAGATACTTTTTACAACTTCATTGAACTTTTTCTCGTATCTTCTGATTTCAAGCCAAAACGAACAAAATTTGACATTTCAGCCACTTGATGTGTCAAACCTGTAATTGTGGAACCTGAAATATTCCCCTGTACTTAATGTTCTGAACATCTTCTTCTTGTTCAATCTTTTTATGTTTTTTGAAATTTAACCAGCTGACTGGATGGCCCTGGCCTGCTATCATCCCAGATTAATTCCATCCGTCCTATTGTTATCCCTCTGCGTTTTCTCCCCTGAGTCTGTTCTAATTGGAGCACTCTGTTCCCTTTATAAAATGGCTGTTAAAAGAAAAAGACCTCTGGGGAAACTTAAAGTGAAATTCTTGTTCAGGGAGCACAGATGCGCGGCCCTCACCTCGCACCTCTGCCGGGGCCAAATCATTAGCCAGCAGGGCAACCACTGACTTAGGCCTTGTCTATTCTGATAAGTGATCCAGCACGGAAGGATGCTAACCCCTGGATGAACCTGCTCCGTGCGTGGCCCAAGGCTACAGCTCGCACTCTAGTCCCATTCTCTACTATGTAGTCACTTCACAGCACAGGGGAGGCTGGAGATTTAGAATACACATCAGTCAGGATGATATATAATCTATAGGCCGTTCAATGTCACTGTCACTTTCATGTATCTGCTCATATTTCCCATCACATTTATAAAATTCAAATGTATCAGTTATTTTATCCCTGTTTATTTCTATTGCTGCTTTCACTGCTATGATTTCAACAACGTTTTATTCTATAGTTTTACTAATAGTCTTATTATCTTTTAAGTTTGTACATTCTTACGCTTGTAATGTTAAACAAAAGGTTAATATTTTCTGAGAGTAAATCTTTTTAGTAGAGTGTCATAGAGTAAGAAGAATAGTGGATACAGACTCATTATGACAACATAGGGCCCCACCAGGCAGCCAGCATCCCTCCACTGGGCATCGATTTTACAATAACTGCTGCCTTGCTGAGGATTACGACTTCCATATTCTCCTCCCCTCAAATTCTCCCTCCTTCCCCTCTCTGTATCTCTCTGTGCTCGCCCCCCTCAAGTGCCTTCATCCATGAGGCCAGTGACCCCTCCCAGCAGGTACCACTGCTGGATTCATTCCTGCAGACCCCTGTGGGTTTGGCTCTGGACTGGCTCCAACACAACCTATACTGGGCGGACTCCGGGGACAAATCCATCTCTGTGGCCTCAGTGGACGCCACCAAAAGAAGAATCCTCGTCAACACGGACCTGAGCGAGCCGCGGGCGATAGCGTTGGACCCCCACCACGGGTAAGAGAAATATATTTTGCCTTTAAGCCGGACATAAAACCATAACCTCTGAATGTCATTATTAAAATTAAATCTCATGTGAAGAGTTTTTAGCTGGGAATGAAAAAATTGAAATCAATACTGTAACCTCTCCATGAGCCACAAGAGCAAACAAGATCATCAGGCACAGGATCAAATATTAGTGTATCATTTTTTTTACTGCCTGAAAATGCTACTGGACCAAAACAGACTTTAATATATTCTCCACAGCTAGGATCCACATTGAGCGATACGTTTGGCTTTTAATGGAGTTTTCATATTAGGCACCATTGTTTGGTACCATGCTCATAAAGCAGTCCACTTCCTTGTTTGAACCCGAGACCACCTCTTCAAACGGACTCAGGCACGGTACCCGAGTACGGAACAAGTACATTTTTTGTTTACACTGATCAAGTGAACCAGACTGTGGGGCTCAAGCGTACTTGGATCTGGACCCAGGTCCCTAGTGTGAAACCACCCTAAAAGACAGCGGAATGAGGTTTTCTTTCTTTTCTTCCACATATACAAGAACAAATCAGCACAGAGATAAAAGGTACCACGTTGTCCACAGGGGGAGCCATAATCAACACAAGCCAAAAGGTGCTCACAGTAGCTTCAATAATACAAATGTCAGCATCCTTTTCCATGGTCTTTAAACTTTAAACTATGATTTACATTTTTAACGCTAACTGCTGACCAGAACAGCTCCTTCCTGTTTTAAGAAATATGCTCATTAGCAACCATTAGGCTGTTAATTTAATTACAGCTTACAACATATCAGAAAAAAAAAGTAGCAAACTTAGTTTATGATGTTTCCTCTCCTCTCTTCTGAAATGCCGTCAGAGTACTAATTTCCTCTGCATGTATTCTATTTTAATGTAGATGATAGTCAATGGAGCCCAGATAAAGATTAGTAAAGTGATTTCAGCCAAAGACCCGAGCATTGAATCAACATAATCCTCTCCTGGGACCCTGTCTAATCATTAACATAAGAGAACTGTTGTTGTTTTGTTTTGGGAATGCAGAGTAACACGCCGGTGACCCATTTAAGCATCCTGACTCAATAGTTTTTTAGAATTTCTGTCCTAGATGATGATTTTTTTTTTGTTCTGGTAATCAGAAGCTAGATGAAAACAAACATACGCAGAATTAAGTAAAAGAGCACAGACACACACACACACACACACACACTGAGATTTCCTGCATATCAAAGTCCGATTCTTATCCCCAAAAGCACAGATCTCTTACTGAGACACCAAATTACTTTTGTCTTTGAATGTAATAAACATTTACATAGAAATGACTGTTTAAATCTCTGTGTTGTTACAGTGCATACTGACTCATAATGCATGATAACCATTGAAACTACACAAAACTCATACACTAACATCTTTTGAATGTGCTGGTTTAAACATGTTGAGCCTACTGCAAACCGCTGCCATGGCTGCAGAAGTTTGAATGTTTCTCATTTAATAGAGAACTTACCAACTCATTAAGTGAATTAACACTACCACAAAATTAAATGGAATACATTCCTTACAATTATGACAATTTGGGCAGATTGTAAGGAAAATAAAAGGAATTCCTGCCAAATAACTTGAACTAAAGGGTGATTAAACCAATAAAAGTATTTCAGAAATTAATATTAGAAGAACTACATCCTCACCAGACCAATTTACTCTGTGTGAAATGATCCGGATAATCCATGTTATCAGCTGCTAAATGCTGTGGAGAAAAACAAACCAAGCATCAGTGAGGTGGTAATGGTATTTTATATGTAAAGATGAAACTGTGATTCTGTTGCTGCATCGTTCAGCTCGAAGACGTGTTGTGGTGCTGAACGGACAGTTCCTTACAACGTTTCTTCTGGTTGTTGCAGATGTATTTGTTACTGGCTTTAATGAAGTTTATTTATATACCGGAGGAGCACTGTAGTTACAACAGAAATATGTCTTATTTCAGTCTCCCACAAAACCTCTGTTTCACATATCTTACAGAATCTATCCTCAGACATCAAATCAGAGACAGTATGCTACTGCTTTATTGTTCAGTCTTTAGTAGAGAATCATAGTTTCAGCTACCATTTGACAAAATCCACATCCCCATGTCTGGTTTTCACAGTCCTTCTACAAGACTTCTCCAAGACTACCTGAATATTTCAAAGGCAGTTTTCAGCAGCACTACTTTTCTGTCATCTTGCCCGTACAGAAAGTTTGTGCAGTCCTCGTAAAAAAAAAAAAATATATAGAAGAATGCTATCTGACTTGCTGGTACCTCAACTGTGTCACACAAAGTTACAATTCCTTGCGTCTGGTAGCTGTGTCTTTGTTGTGCAAATGCAGCCAGACACAGTGCAGAGCAGCACCTACACAGAAACTCACAACTTTCTCAAAGAATGGCAAAGTTCCAGACAAAATGCCGCAACCAGAACATTGTATATTCAGTAGAGCCTGTTGGCACAACAATGTGGGCAGACTAAATGACATAATAAATAAAGCGATGAAATCTGACAAAAAAAAACTGGGGGAGGAAAAAAAGAAAGCATCTCATTATGAACACTTTTGCACTGCAAGATCTTCTCTTTCACATTTCCTGCTGAGCACAGCTGCATTACATGAACACTCCACAATATAACATTAAATGTGCTTCCTTTGTTCACTCTAGCTTCATGTACTGGTCAGACTGGGGCACGCAAGCCAAGATAGAGAAAGCCGGGATGAATGGAGTGGACCGACAGGTGCTGGTGGCTGATAACATTGAATGGCCCAATGGGATCACTCTAGGTGAGAGCACAGCACTTTTTTTTTTCACCCTTTATTTCTTTATTATGTTACACAAGGTTATATTTGACACTTTTTTTTTTTTTTAAAGCTATTTTCATTTATCTTAAATTGCCTGAAGCACAGAGTTAATGCATCCGATAATCGAATGGGAGGTAAAGGTCAGAAGTAATTAAAATAATGAGGAGAGATATTTAACAAAGATGGAGAAAAAGTTATCCTACTTGTTTTTCGAATGACATTTGAGGAGAGTCATAACATATAGATCAACAAAGTAAAACTTAAACTGCTGTAATAGTGAGAACCTGACATTTTAAAAGTAATCAATAGCACCTACAGGGATTTTGCTGGTCGGAGTGCATCAGTGTTTACCACAAAGACAATCAATTTCTACTCAGCTTGCGAAAGTCTTATCTGTGTGTGTGTGCGCGTGTGTGTGTCTGTGTTTGTGTGTCGCAGATGTAGCCAACAGGCGTCTGTACTGGGTGGACTCAAAGCTGCACCTGATAGCCAGTGTGGACCTGAACGGAGCTCACCGCAGGACACACATGTCGTCCTCAGAGAGTCTGGGACATCCCTATGCTCTGGCTGTGTTTGAGGTTTGTGTGTAACACGTTTAAAAGATTTCTGTCTTGTTGTGCACATCTCATCATATCCACATCTTCCTCATCAGCCTCACGGGGGCCCGTAGTGTGACTGGGAGTTTAAAAGTAATGAGAGTTAAATTCAATTTACTGTACATTATGTGTGTGTGTGTGTGTGTGTGTGTGTGTCCTGTGGTCTGTTTGCCCCGATGGGTTTGACTAGCAGAGCATACTAAACAGAGAACAGCCACAGGGAGAAGATAGCCTACAGGCTCAACACACTTATGTTTTGGCCCTTAGCCGTCAGAGATGATGGCCATCAGAGAAACTTAGATCTGGGTTTATCCTACAAATTCTTCCTATCTGGTCTCTTTGTTGTGTTTTTGGGCTTGTGTAGAATCATGCTTTTGCTTACAAACTCAGACAAAATCAGAGTCGTTGCCACTGCAGCAGAGTCCCAGACAGCTGCAGATGGGTGCTAAACACATCAGCCAGGTGGTCGATTCCCAAGTGGGACTCCTCTCAAGGGTATCTGGTCTCAGGGGGATCAGGGCAGCAGGTTTCTTATGGCAGCGGACCAGTTTACAAGCTCGGAATTTTTGAAAGTATGCCATTGAATGACATTGTTCAGCTAAATGCTCCTGAAATTTGTACCAGGGGGCTTTTTTAAGTCAAAACACCAACATGGATTTTAATGTCCCTCCATTGCTACACAATAATAAAGACAACTTAGCTCTGCAGATTTGTTTTGAAAGGAGGTAAAAAGAAAAGAACCATGCCGTCTAGTCTCTTAAAACGTTTGCATTCCAAATTTACTTTGAGTAAAACCGCACTTGAATCATAGCCCAAATGTATTTAAAGTGTCAAAGAATATTGTAAAAAAAAGTGAGTCATGTCCTCATGTGCTAATTTTATTGTATTTTCAAAACTCAGGATTGACAGTTATGTCGATACAGCACAAAAAAACACAATATTCAAGATTCACAAATATAAGCACACAGACGAGGCCATCCTCTCCGTCTTTTACCTGCTCCACTTTTAAATGAAAATGTGTGCTCAAACAGGCTGTTTGAAGATTTTCCCTTCACGACATCACAAAGGGCAGTACCCCCCCCCCCAGGTGGATGTCACTCCCACAGCAAATAGTGTGTTCTGCCCTCTGAGTCCACCTTCTCACTGTACACAATAGGTTATGGTGCAAGAAAGCCCAAGCCATATCCACTTCCAGAGAGGGGCGTGGTCAGACACAGCTCATTTGCATTTAAAGCTACAGACACAGAAACAGTCTGTTCTGAGCAGGGCTGAAATAGAGGGGTTTATAGGCACGATCAAATACAGGATCAGAGTGGATTTTTAGCAAGAAACTTTGTTTGTTTTTGGGTTACTCTGAGACGTGTTTAATCTTGTTGAAAAGAAGTATAATGTGTGACCTTTAATATATGAGTTATGCAAGTTACTAATAACTAAAGCTCCCAAGCCTCCCATGACATGTTGAGCAGCCGTATAAAGTTTTCACTTTGCTCAAGTTAGATAAAGAAGAAACATATTTTTTCACCCTTCTCTGTTGATTTTCTCAACATTTTCTCTTGATTTTTCTCCCCGTTAAATAATAAAACTGCCAATAGGGTTGAGCTGTTCAAAGCACAACCTTGATGTAATTGTTCTACTGTACTGTGCTGCCAGTCGACTCTGCAGGCAGCACTGTAGTGTACCTAACAAAATGATGATAAATCCCCTCTGGTGCGATACATAATCGATCCGGGGCTCCTCTGCTCTCTGCCCTGTTGTGACTACAAGGTGACCTTCCTGTTTAGGATGTTCAACACACACCAGCTCTGTGTTATTGAGTGGAGCGTGTTGTAGTGAACATCACATTACCATCTCGGTCTGACTCAGTGACTGACTCAATGCAAACAGACACACACGCGCGTACACACACACACAAAGACGCACTCTCATGTGGCTATATTAGGCTGTAGTTTCTACAGCAACCCCAGAATATGTCAGCTGCATTTCATTAGTTGAATAGAATTATTTCTGAGTTAAACCTCTGCATATTTATTTCCTTGATGCATTCATCCACTCATGTTATTTGCAGCGCATGTCAAATGAACACACTTTCTCTTCCACAAAAGATAATCAATGAGACTATGTGTGACACAAAATATTTATCAGTGCACATTTCACTGGTGTTAATTTTCTCTCCATTGTTTTTCCTCAAATAAATTAGAGTCGTGAGTGAATACGCTGAGCCTAGCATTTACAGCTGTTAGCTCTGTTTACTCTCCCACTGTGGTCTGTATTCATGATTCTTCTATTTTCACTCTTTTTCATTCACCAATTTCATGTCATTCATACAAAAGCAGAGATTTAATTAAGTCCCTTTCAAATTGAAGGACTCTTGAACATACATGACTCTGGAAATGTACAAGCTGTATTAGTGCATGTTGCTGTACACTACGGTTCTGCATAATGCAATGAAATGTGTCATCTTTTGAGTTTTGGTTAAGTTTATTTGTGATCACAACTGGATGGACATCTCAAATGCTGTCCACAGCACAAGCTTCAAATGGAGTTTGAGCTAGAGTTTTGAGCTAAATGCTAAAATTAGCTTTAGCACATGCTCAAATTGACAATGCTAACGTGTGTGTGCAATGCTGGTAAAAAGTAGAAACTACATGAACCATCTTTGGTCAGAGAGTTAGTTTGCAGACATAATGCTAATGATCCCTAACTGCAACAGCCGACGCTGCACTAAGAGACATGAAGAGAGTTGTTTTATGTCTTCTAGGTTGTATGTCCTTCAGAGCTGGAGCTTTTAAAATTCCCTTGTGTACCAAAATGTGCTGCTGGGTCGTAGCCTAGCAGCGCCCTGCCTGACTTCTACATTGTGTTAGTCATAATAAAAACCTAATCTTCCCTGTGTTTCAGGATCGTATCTACTGGACGGACAGAGACAGAGCGGCAGTCTTCATGGCTAACAGGTTGACAGGTCAGGATGTCCAGACGCTGGCTGAAAACCTCAACGACCCCCACGACATTGCGGTCTTCCACCAGCTCCGACAGCCCCAAGGTGTGTGTGTCCTAAATAACAGGGAATGTACATGCATGTCTGTACTGTTCACTTTCTTCCCCTCACTGTGATTCTACAAGCTGAGACGCATCTCTGTGACCAAGTTTCCCGCAGTGGGTCCATGTCAGACCGGCACATGAATAAATAATGTTGAGACGTGTGACTGCAGCAGGGTGATCAAAGCATCAGGAGCAGCCGAACATTCACACATCTGTCATAAACTCTGCCTCCAACCTGGTTTTCTTTTAGGACCATCCAGATTTGAATTTAACTGAACAGAGGTTTAAATCATGAATGTGATGCTGGTGTTTCCATTCTTGCATGTCGGTTTCCATAAATATATCAGCCTTGCCTCTTTTGGTGTCTTCCCTCCAGTGAGTAGTCTATACACAATAATATTTACATCTTTCACTGTTTTTCATCACCTGTCTTTAATTGTTTATGAACAATACTGGCTTGAACACAGTGGAGTCGTTTTTGGCACAGCTGCAAAGGAACTAGTTCATATTTACAGCCAGTCTCTGTAAGTCGCCAGATGTTAGTCTGTGTATTCTTCTAGTTTTTGTTTACACATAGTGAATGGCTTTTCTGAAAGGGAATTAGTCAGTGTATTCACAGAGGAGGGAACAACAAAATGTCCAAAGCATCATTCAGACTCTCTACTATCTCCAGATGTTGAAATAGTGATAATCCTATTTTTAAAATGATCACTGTGTCATTCCCGTGTCTCAGTGTCTCTCTGTGTCTTTTTGTCTCTGTCTCCAGGCCCTGACAGCTGTAATCTGGGCAGTGTGGCCAATGGAGGATGTGAGTACTTATGTCTGAAGGCTCCACAGATTACAGAACACTCGCCCAAATACACCTGCGCCTGCCCCGACGGACAGGACCTGGGCCCCGATATGAGGGGCTGTGTGCCAGGTGAGCCTGTTTATTGAGAGTAATTAGTGATCAATAACACCTAATAGGATTTGTCGGACAGACTGCACAGTGCTGACCGTGAAGATGATTCAATTCAGCTTCACTTAAGACAGACCTTTTTTCAGAGGGGGAACTTTAAAAAATGTTTCTACTTAAATAAAAACATTATACTCAAATATTTAAGACTTTTTGTGTTAGTGCTCGCATGTGTAAGATCCTTATATTAATATTATTGTAACACTGAAACAATAATAATATTATTTTCTATGATAGATTACTTTTCTTCACAGTAACAGAGCAATTATATCAAACTTGGTGAAGTAATAAACTAATTAGAAGAATATTCCCTAAACATAATTGGATTAAGTTGAATTAAAGTCATGATTAAACATGTATGACTTGGTTATCCTGCATGTCCTGTTTATTTCTCCTTATTACAACATCTTAACCATTTCACTAATAGTAATCATTTTAAGTCTTTCATCTGTTTTCTCATGTTTTATTAAATGTAGCACTGTATTCATCTCATTGTTTTATTAGGCTAAATGTAGCACTGTATTCATCTCATTGTTTTATTAGGCTAAATGTAGCACTGTATTCATCTCGTTGTTTTATTAGGCTAAATGTAGCACTGTATTCATCTCATTGCTGTTCATTGCTGGATTAATGCATTTTATTACAGAGGTGGAGTTTGGTAGAAATTGTGTAAACAATCAATATTTTATTTGTAGTAGGTAGTAATTGATGATAAATCATGAAATATGCGACCCCCAAGCAACAAAGTAATTCAACCTCTGATGAAAAGATGGTTGCTAAGCAACACATACATGGACCACCACTGTGTAGTTTAATGGGATTCAACGCAACATCTAAAGGACAAATGCGTTCTTCTGCTCATACATTTTCAACACATTGAATTATGATAATGGTCATGGTACTTTGTTAATGAAGGAGAGGTGAGCTGATTTTAATTGGCAATAATTCCAAACAAAATGATTCTGATTCAAAGCATGATGATAGTACAGACAAAGGAAGTATTTCAATCTTAATTTGAAATGCACTGCAGCAGCTTTAAGTAAATGTACATGTTAGCACATTGATGAGAAATATATGTTTGTTTTGTCGCTTTTACAGCAACACTCAGCGAATGACAACATTGATAGAAACATCAATGAGCGTGCCTATAATAAACAGGACCTAAACAGACCACAAAATAAGATATACTTTAACTTTGAAAACATGAATTCACAACAAGCTTCTTATTATTCACACTAAATAAGTGTTGTAATTGTCTAATTAACTGTCTTAACTGATTTTATTAAAAGTATCGACCCACACAGTTTACTGATGAAGCACAGTGACACTAGCATGAGTTTCAACTGCAAAACCAAATCAATACTAACAGAATCTTTTATGATACTTCAACGTTGATGTTAGTTAATTTGGTTTAGTAACTAATGACATGTTTAAAGATTTTCGGATTCTACGTTTTAGTATTCAATGATAAAATGAATACCAGATTAAGAGTTAATTGAAGGGAGATCTTTTTAACCATTGAGAGACAAGCTATCCGTTCCTTTCTGTTTCCAGTCATTCTAAGCTAAGCTAACATTTCCTGACTGTGTCTTCATTTTTAAAGAACAGAGGGTGTATATTTAGAATAATTTTCTCTTTAAAACTATTTGCAAGAAACTGTTCATTTCCCAAAAGTCACAAGTACTTCAAGGGTATTGAGAAAAAACTGATTTGAAATCATACTTCCAGGTGTTCCAACACATCGACAATAACTTTCTCTGAAGCTTCATATTCTGTTATCTTCTCTTCTCTAATTCCAGGAGCACCGAGAAACGACACAGCACCCACATATTCGCCTCCGTCTGACACTAGCTCGCTTGTTACTGAAGACTTCCCGCCTCCCTCAGGGGGGGTTTCACAGGCAGATGCCACCCCCCACTTAACCACAGCTCCCTCTGGTGCCCCCGACTCCCTTACAACCCTCTCCACCCTCAAGCCTCTTTCCTCACAAGCATCAAAGGCTCTGGGCTCCCACTCCACGGCCACCGCTATGGTCGTGTCTACCACACCAGCAGGGGACAGCAGCGTCTCTCAACACTGTGAGTGAGCTGTGTATGAAAAAAACCATGTGTATTCATTCTGCCTTTATTTAAAGACACTGATAAAACTACGACAAATACTTTAAATAGGTTTTCTTAAAAACTCCTGTAGAACTTTCAACTGCTCATAAAACAGACTGAAATGAATACCGATGTCTCTTTAAGACCCACAAATGCGTTCATGAAGAAGATTGTAATTTCTTTATATGCAATTTGTATTTGCTGATATCACTGCCATGGGTTAGGTGTAAGATGAGTTGATTTTCAGCATGCCAAGTCGCCCTATGAACAGAACACGAGGGTCTTCTCAGGTGTCAGATTTTCACATTCAAAGCATGACATTGGTCCCTTTAAAGGGACACTGTCACCTGATTGTCCTCATCTCCTGCTAACTAGCACATCCTACAGTACTTCTCACCCTCATAATGTAGCTCACAACCTCAGCCTGGCTGTAATGATGACATTAAAATGAGGGATTGACAAGACCCCTAAAACCACGCTCAGCTGCATTTAAAAGGAGTGATGAATCTTACCTTGAAAATGTGGCCTTCTCTCTATAAATTGCTCTTTGTGTGGGCTGTAGTCCAGTGCGTGGGTGATGGCATGTGTGTAACTGTACATAAGTAAGTGTTATATAAATGAGTGTTAAATGTGAAGTGGCAAAGAAGTGTTAATGAAGTGTAGAAGGTCAGGGGTAGTGTCAAGGTCACTCTGCCAAATGCCATAAACTCATCATTTTTCTCACCCGCTGTCATTTTTATTCCTCACTATCTTCCTCTTTCTGTAAAACACTCACAGCCATGTATGCACGAACACCCGGCTGCTGTGTTTTATCTCCTCTCTCTTCTACCGGCTCTCCTGTCCTGCCTCCCCTGCTTATCTCTCACTCTATTTCGTGCATTTTTATATCCTGTGAGCTTTCTCCCTCTTATCCTCTCTCGCTCTTCTGTCTTTTCTCGCTCTAACTCCTCTAATTCCTCTCTCTCTCTCTCTCTCTCTCTCTCTCGCCCCTTCTCTCTTCAGCTGGAAGCGAACATTTCCTCCTGGGCGAGAACCTGACAGTGGCTGTTTTGGGGGTTGTCATCCCCATTGGTAAGTCACTGGGAGTCCTCTTTGTCTGTGTGTGTATGTCCACGTCTGAGGCCCTGCAGGGCTGCATTTAGCTGCTGTCTACCTGCACCCTAAGGCCTCTCTGTTTGTAGTCCATTCACACTGACCCTGCTGTGGCGGGATGAGAGAAGCCTGGAATACAGGTCTTCTCGGTGAGGTTTCTCCAAGTCATTTTCTTTGTGCGTCTGACATTGCTGCCTCTCTGCATTATTCACGTCACGCTGTGTTGTTGTGTTGGGTTACGCTACTGGCCTGTCAGTAATCGTTTTGTCTCTGTGCAGTAAGAATACTATAATACAGAAAGAAAGCAAGGGCAGGGTTGGTGCACCTAAATAACTGCAATTTTTCTCCTTGTTACCAGCAGTATGCAGCCAACCAGACAGCTTCGTAATATGAGCATGTTAAGCCCTTTACCCCTTAGTAGTCTTATTTGTCTGTTGTTGCACAGCACATATCCACTTAACAGCAGAAGATATTCTCATACTAGTTTTTTTTATTTCAGTATAGAGCTACAGTGGATAGTACTTGTAGTAAAAGAAGCATTCAATAACTAATATAACTGTTCTTTTTACACAGTTTGTTTTAACTAGAGCCCGACCCATTAATTGGCCAGGCGATAACATCAGCCGATTTTTAGCATATCCAATGACTATCATTATCGGCCTCAAGCAGATATGCTCCTGTATTACTCGATTTATTCACTAGTCAAATAGCATTTCATTTGAGTATCATTGTATTACACTAGCAATGAAGCTTTCTGGCTGTCACTAGCAGAGTGCTTTATGGATTACAACAAGCATCATAAACCTTCAGAGTGTCGAGCGATGATGCACTAACATACGCAGTTACTTTCCAGTTGAGTGACCATCTTGTCTTCGTTATATATCTTTTCCAAAAGTGTTTGATTACTGCATTTGACGGATCAACCCAATACATGTGTAGATCTATATCTCTACGTATCTCTGCTGATTGAAGATTGATCTAAAAAAGATGTCAGGTCATTTATCGGTATCAGATTTTTTTTCTCTCTCAAATATCGATAGAGGTATTTTTCCCCAAACTCCCATATAGGTGGGGCCCTACTTACTATATCTTCAGACATCAACGGATCAACACAATAAATGTGTATATCTATATCTAAAAGAGAAAGACTAGTGTGCGCTCATCCAAACAAATTGCATACAGGTGCAGGGGTAAAAAAAAGTATAAACTGCAGAAAAAAGAGAAAGGTCCTCTCCCAATGAGCAACTTTATCAATGGTAACGTTTCCATCCAAAGGACCTTCTTCAGGCAAATGTACGGCAAGCCAAGGGAAAATATAGCTATTAGATTATAATGCCATGAAAAATTGTCTCATAGGAGCGAAAAGCAAAAAGTGTTGCTCCTAAAAGAAGAAAGAAAATGAAAATAAGACGTCAATAAACCATGGGAGCTTTATTGGTGCTTTAATGCTTTAATTCAATAATGCAATATTAAATCCCATTGCTTATTCAAGGACACTTTCTTTGAGGATGATGTTGTTTGATAGTTTAGATTTTGTTTTTCTCCCTGAGGAGCGTTCAAAACAACTTTTCTCCACAGTCAGCCCTCTGATGATGTTTGGCACAGCTCACTCAGAGTCTGTGTGAGAACTGTCAGTTCATGAGTGACGCGACAGTCACCCGATGTTTACCCGAGCCACCCACACACACACCCACCCACCCACACACACACACACACACAATCTCTGTGTCACTGCCCCCTGACCCCTCTGTCCCCCCGCATGCCTGTTCTGCTCCCCTCTGTGCCTCTCATTTCACGCCATGGACTTGGTCTGCCTTGTTAACGCTGCCCCCTTCCCCATGTCCCTGCCGCTGTGTGTTAAACGCATGCAGTTCCTATTGTTGCCACAGTGGTGTTCGGCCTGGTGTGCACCGGAGTCTACCTGGTGTGGCGGAACTGGCGACGCAATTCCACCAAGAGCATGAACTTCGACAACCCCGTCTACCGCAAGACTACCGGCGAGGGCGAGGAGGATGAGATCCACATCGGACGGACTGACGGCATGGGACACCACGCGCACCACCACCCGTACCCACAGGGAGTCAACATGGGAGTCGTTGGAGCAGGAGGTGGCACCTGCCCGCAGTTCATAGCCCTGCCACTAGGAGGCAGCATGCCTGATCCAGGGACTCACTGGTACACGGAGCAGCCTATGCTCTCAACTACAAAGTGACCAAGAAGAGCGGAATCCAGGTGAAGACGGCCGCTCAGGCACACGCACACACAGAGAGAGGTCAGGGGTCACTTGGACCAAGTTTCCTTGAAGGGAGAAAGAACATATCATCGAGTTTTACATGCAGCCATTCACAGCCAATGTCCTATGCCAAACTCTATTTGGAAAACAGCAGATTTAATTACACAAACATTGTTTCTTTTAAAAACACTTGTCTTTTTTTCTGTGCTGCAGCTGGATTTTCTCTGGGAAAAAGTTGAGATTGGATTTGTCAATGTGTTTTGATGTGTTCCCAACATTGACCTGAACTGAATTATGGTGTTGAACTGGTTCCTCTTTTGAGTCTTTTGCATTGATCACGAGTGAGGTGTGTGCTGTGTGCTGTGTGTCTTATATTTTGTGATGAGGCTTGTGCCAGCTTCTGTTTCATCCTCAATGTTTTAGTTTGTGTAATTCCTGGTGGGCCACTGGGAGCTCTGGGAGAACTGTTTGGGAGAGTGAGCTCTGAAACTGGGACAGCACCTGCGTTGATGGGACAATCTGTACAGATTCATGTTTGAGTCAACCACTAATGTCATAGATGTCATAACTGGAGCTTTTTTGGGATTAACCTTTTACCGAAAGGTTTTTCTGTTTAGTTTTTAATTTTCAGACTGATTTTAAAGAAAGCTTCGACATCATGTGCTTTCTCTCTGGTTCAGGAACAAGCCTTTAAGGGTGAGTTGTCTGAGTGCAGCTTTAACACGGCTGATTTGAGGGGTTATGTTTTGATTTGACCTCCAAACCTCCAGAGATTTAGGAGAGTGCATCAGGTTTGTGCAATGGAAAGAAGTAAATGGAGGCACCCAGAACGCTCTTGGGGCCTTTGTTGTCGAGGAGCAGAGAGGATGAGAGGTTAGAGATATTTTACTTGAGACTTCTGTTGTCTTTATTGTAACTTGTTTAGGTGTTCAATGGTTTGAGAAAAGCAATAGACTGCAGCATTTAGTTGGGCTGTGGAATTATGTGGTTCACAAAACCCCCTTGAGTGTTAAGAATTTTATTTGATCACCCACTTTTGACTGTGACAAATGCACACATGAACACACACAGGGGTGCAGTGATTCCTACTGTTCTCCAGAGGACAGAGACAACTTGCACTTGCCCTCTAAAAAAAAACAAAAAAAAAAAAACACAAACAGCATGCATGATTGCCCACCACCTGACAATGCAGCCATTCATTGTTTCAGGCTAAACACACACATGATTGCACGCACACACAATAGCAAGCTGGATACCGTAGCCCACTGTGGTCTCCCTGAGAAGGCGGATATCTGAGCAGACAGTTTGGATGGCTCCGTGTGGGAGGGCCCAGCTGGTGGCTGCACACTGAAAAAGACCCGTTATGTGATGTAACCACCAAAACTCAAATCTGACTGTGATGTAACGAAACCAAAATGACAAATCAGAGAACATGTTTAATGCCCGTTTAGTCCAGTCATTAACGCTGTTACTCTATTTATAGACCTTTAAAGTCCGTGTATGTGTGTGTGTTTGTGTGTGTGCGTGTGTGAGTTCATTTTTACGCATGTGAGTGCTGCTGTTCATCCCACAGCCATATTTGAAACTGTTTTGTATGCTCTTTGTTGCACAACCCTCTTTGAATGCCTTCTTTATTGTGTACTGCATGGAAGAAAACAGATGTGTGGATACACGGGTGTGTAAGAGTGTATGTGTGTGTAAGTGTTGTGTGTGTGTGTGTGTGTGTGTATGTGTATGTTTGACACTGGAGAGTTTTTGAGGGTGCTTTTTGATTCATTGATTTGTAAATATGTTTTCATAAGGTTTTTGATAATGTATTATACAATTATGTAAAAGAGAAGCTGTACATAAGATTTTAGATAAAGTGTTGACAGGTATATTAATTTATTTGTATAAAAGGAGAGCACTGCATTCCCTGATTGTAAGAAGTCTGAATCTTTCCACCAAAGTGGTTTGTGTTGTTTCTTGCTGTGCATCATTTAGCATCTTTTTCATGTGCAAACCCTTTTTTTTCTCCATACACCCACGTAATCATGGTGACCCCCCCCCCCCTCCTGAAAAATGACCACCCTTTTGCAATGATTACCAACCTTAGTGTTAACGAGATGATTGATTTTTCTTTCTTTGTGCCTTTTTCGTTTACTTTTTCCATTTTCTTGAAGTGTTTTTCACGAAAAAGGACAGGACAGGGATCAGCCAACTGTACATGCAACGATGAACTGTTAATTAAACCAAACTGGTTCCACCTTTTGATTTTCTGTAATGGATTACTTTTGAATATCTCTCTATATTGATATATAAAATCTGACTGAAAATGTCTTCAGTGTGTGCTCTTTTATTTCCTTTTATATCACAAGTCCATTTCTCAAACCTGCTGCTGAAAGAGGAGGTTTGTGTCACTCAAGATCTCTATAATGAGACTAGTTATGCTCAACTGGGGCCTCAGCTGACAGACCTTTGTTTTATCATGTCTTCCAGATGAAAGCTGGGTAAGCTATTTAGTCTCAACAGATTTGTGTTTATGTTCGTTAAAATTCCTGCAACATACTGACAGCAGTCTTAAAAAGAAGCTCTCCATCTGTGTGCCATGAGCCTGTGATACGTCTGTCCTTTCTTACCAGATGAAATAATGTTATGGAGGGCTTACCATCCTGTCCACCTGCCTGCACTGTGAACATGTTGATCAAGTATGGCAGTCTGTAAAAATATGGCTTACTCTTGCTGGTTTCTCTACATTGGCCTTCAATAGGTACTGCACATATTTTCAGTCAACTAAATCCTTATGATCTGTGCATTAAAAAACATGGAGACATCTCTGGAGCTTTCAGCCCCTATATTATTATTATTGTTTTGATTTCTTGGGTGCAAAAAAAGTTAACTCCTTCTCCAGTCTAAAGTTAACTAAATGGACCAAACAACAAAACTAATGACCAACAAGCAAAGATTCTGTCAACAGAACATTTGAAGATAAAGAGCAACATATTTCCCTTCGGTCCAAAAACAAAGCTGGTGTGTGAAGACCCCCCATGGTTGTGTAACTCAAACATTTTGTGAGTGACATTGTGTTCAAAGGTGTCTAAACTGAATGCAGATTTAAAGACATAATAACCTGACTCACTGAGAGCAGTGGAAGAAGACCAACGGCTGAAACAACAAACGTGTCTTCTTATAAGGTATGGCATGTTTTCTTTTTTTTACTTGAGCATGACTTGGCAACATGCAGAGCTGCAATGTGTTCTATACAAGCTAAGCTGGACCACGTACCACTGTATTAACACTCCTCCTGAATGTATGGTACCTGCTCATCAATTAAAGCTTTAGCTGATAGGATGCTGCTCCTAACAGTATGTTTTTTTTAGAGTCCCTTCTGTCTGAGCTGCCTTTCACATTCATCCACTTACAAACTGATTCATCAGCAGACAGACCAACAGTGGTGGATAAATCCAGTCCATTATCATTATTAAACTGAAGCAGGCATAATACCTCTAGACTCTTGGCTTGTTGTACCAGACCCCATTAGGATATTATGTAATAAGTATTTTATTAATCCAGTGGTTCCTGCAGCAGACAAATATGTGTCAAAGAGGCTCAATGCTGCAGGAAAGCTAAGATGGGCACCTTTATCCATGTTGCGTGAAGGCCTGTTTGGGTGGGGGAGGGCGGGTTACAGCTATATACCTGTGATATGGGCACTTACAGGTTGCTACGAATGAAAACATATTGTCAAAAATGTTTTCATTCCGGGATTCATCTTTTTAAGTAAATATAGATTTGATGTAGTAGTGCAGCTTTCTTTTCAGAGTGACTGTGTGCTTATATTTCGTCTGTGACGTTTGACTGATGGAAAAGCAGCTGATTCCATCTCCATCCATCCATCTCTGTCTCTTTCTGAGGATATATATTTGCTCAGGGTCATTAAAGCAGCAGGACAGTCAGTCAGTCGGGCTGGGAAGAAAAATCCTCAGGGGAAATGAGGTGGATTTGCTCATTCAGACAGAAATCCAGCCTCCCCCTCATCTCCGCACTCAATCCTTTTTGTTTTATCTCAACAACGTTATCTCACATCCTCGCAGAGAGACTGAAGCTCAGACTCTAAGTGTTCGGGGGGGGGGTAGAAGAACAAAGGCCAGTCACATACATCTGCTCTCATGCTGGATCGGGCCTTTCCAGCTGCACATAGGATCGCAGGTGAATCTCATGTGTGCCCCCTCTCATGGTGGAATTAGCACAATTTGGTGGGTATCATGTCTATGATTGTATGTCATACTTGAAAGGGATTAGATCTATTCCCCTGGATATGCTCATTTTAGAATTCCAGATTTATGTACATTGTTGCTTTCTGTATGTGTGTTATGTTTGTTTTGTCTGCCAATAATGTGGCTGAAATGGAGGAGCTATGCCACCTGCTGGTCAGTATTGTCACTACAATAGCATAGCTCATTTGCACTATTTTGTAAAATTACAAAAAGTGAGCAATAGGTGAACCAGCAGGAGGGTGTGTGTGTGAGGCAGGACTTTCAAACAGCAGATTTCAGTTTTCACCCATTTTTAACCCATGAAATGCAGATTTATTACATTTTAGAGGATCATTTTAATATTTACACGAGCATTTTGTGTGTCATCAAAGTATATTCATATCCTTTAGGTTCCAGCTCAAAACAAACTTTGTGGGTTCTCCTCAAAAACTTGTTTGCTTAGCAGAAATAAAATGTAACAATTTGATGTATTTTTATTAAAGAGAGCCATTTTATACATTTGCAAATAACATTATAACTGAATCAACAGGTTTTTCTTTCATGTGTTTTCCATGCAGCTTTATCATTTCTTTTTTATATTCCACACATATTGTTAATGAAAGGAATTGGCTGCTGTAATAGTTTGAATATGAGTATCTGGCACAGGGGAACTTATCTTAAGCACTTGTTATTTTATAGTTGTCAATGTTTAATCTGAGCTACACCATAAACGTTTAATAAATATTCTTACATTGCATAGTTTGCAAAGCAAAGACGCTACTTTGATGTGCAAAGGTCAGACATAACTATGAACATCAGCATTTAAAGACATCAGCACATTAACTTTAGCTCTTTACTGCATCAGCAATCCCGACAGACAGATATTAGCTTAGCCTCACTCATCCCATCCAAAACTCAAGTTTATATTCCTGTTGCCTAAATGTGTCCAGTAGAAACAATAACGGAACAGCAACAGCTCAACCTAAGCAAACATATAACTGTGTTTAATATTGCTAAATATGAAAGATATGTCTACACATTACTTCCCGGTTTTACAAAGAACTACAAAGCTCGAGCTTTAGCGTGGGCCTGCAGGAGGGCTGCTGTGTCAGTGTGGGAACCTTGCATGGCGATGGAGAGTGCAGTTTGTCCACGCTGGGGAACAAAAAAAAAAAGAGAAGGACAATAATGAGTAAGACTTAAGAAACTTACTCTGAATACCTATGTTGCCAGGCGCATTATACATAGGCTTACTATAAACACCCTTTCGTAACCATGCTAACAATGCTGCTGTTTCCTGTTAGTCCAACTAACTATTCACTGACATTTCAGCCTAAATCCGGAACTTCATTCTAAAAAAGAGAGTGATGTTAGTTTCCCTTATAACGATGGCAGGCACAAGTCTATAGGAAGATAATTGAATTGTTTTAAAATTTGATTGTATTGTGAAAATACACTCAGTATTGTATTAGTTATCGCTGAATTTCATGCCGTTATTGTTAATATTGATCCCCTTTCAGCGATAAGCTGCAAATTTTAGTTGTACCACAGCAATGGTGTCAGTAATGATGGTTGGAGTAGTGTCAGAAAGTTTTTGATGTATTTATTATTGTTCTGATAAGTGCACCATATAGTTCAGAGAGCTCGTGTAGGGAGTAGGGAATGGGCGTGTTATTTGGACACCATCAACATGTTGACTTTAGCATTGAGCTAAAAGAACAGCCTCAAAGGCATTCTACTTAGGCTACAAACTCTTCATTTTGTTTATCATTCATGTTTGACGCATACACACAGCGAAATTGTATTTTTTTGTTAATTATGAGCTCATTATTAATTCTACTGTAGACCAGCATGTTAGCATGGTCATGTTGATGTTAGCATCTAGCATGGGTAGCATACTCTTGGTTTTGTTGATATTAATATTTTGATTATTGCACAATAAACTTATTTGGAATAACCTTATACTTTGTAGTTCTACTGTAAACAGCAGGTTAGCATTGTATCACGGTGTAGCACTGTGCAGCCTCAAAGGGATGCTGGGGCTAAACATGAGCTTGTTTCATGTAATGACCCTGAGGTGCGATTGAAGACTCCCAGAGAACAGATTAAAACCCAACACTGTGAAAGGTTAAACTTTCATTTATTTAGTCTAATGAGTTATAATTTAATTAAGGTAATGAATCTGAGTGTGAGTGAAGGTGAAACGTTTTGAATCAAGCTGGGACCCATGTGATTGAAGGTCTTTTTCTCTCTTTTAAACTTTAAAGGCAGATGGAGTCAAAAGCAGAGGGAACATTTTGCATCCTTGTCACTGCTCTTTTCTCTGCCTCCCATCGCTTCAGACTGGCAGATAAGGTACTGTTAGCGGATTAACTCATCTGAGTCTCTGCCCATTAAGACTGGGAAAGCTGTATTTAGCTGCATCCAGACTGTCAGTCCACCCACGTCCACACTGTGTCAGTCAAAACATTTAAGCATTCATACATCTAAGCTCCCTTTTGAGCTTACTTATGTGAATACAAAAGTGGAAATAGGGTAATGTTTTAAATAACACTGAATTCACTGGGGAAATGGAGTATGAGTCATCATACAAACGCTACAGTATGTTGAAAAAAGTCAATAAATGGGCTGCCTGCCATTTTTTACACAGTTAAATGTTATCTTCTTGGAAAAATGAACATACGAAGGCAAATAGAAATCTCTACCTTACAGTATTGGTTAGTGTGAAAGCAAAACTGCTTGTCCTCTATCTGGCTGAAGGGTTTGGGGATAAATGTAACAGTGCATTGTCTATGGGGTTTTCTGCAGTATCACCTTGTCAGTCAGTGTGAGATCACACTGGCTCCTCTCCAGCAGCAGCCTTGCGATGTGTGTGTGTCCCCTCTCAGCAGCAAACATCAGGGCTGTGTTTCCCTGGTTGTCCTGGATGTTAGTGTCCGCTCCGCAGCTCAGCAGCAGGCGAACCATCACAACTCGCCCGTGTCTCACCGCCAAGTGCAGAGCTGTTTGACCTGTCTGTGGAGGGACAGACAATTGAAATATTTACTGAAAACCTAATGTATCTTTCCCACTTTGTATGATTTATTTTTGCTTTGTATGTACATGATTTATAGTGCACATAACTTCCAGTATACATTTCTACATAGTGTGCAGTGTAAACAAATCAGGGGATGACCCTGTGTCAATGTAAGTTATTTATGGAGTACATACAATTTTCTCTCGACTGCATAGAAAACTGGAAAACCTTGACATCTCACTGCTATCATTCATTTTCTGTCCTTACTTGATGCCACTATTCACATGAATACAAAACATGTTACACTTAATATATGTTCACATCGGTTGTGTTACCTGGCTAGAGCGAGTGTGGATGTTGCCCTGTTCCATCAGCTTGCGGACCACCTCCATCCCACCAGGTCCGTCAGGTGCTGTCAGTGCGGCCAACATTACTGGCGTATAACCTGCGTTGTTCTGAAGATTTAAGTCACTCACACCTGTTGGAGAGAGAAAATTCATTTTTCTCTGTATTTGAAGGCACATTAAACTTCTCTGGCCCACACGATGCTGTTACCTGTGTCCAGCAGCATGCTGACAATGTTGTAGTTACAGTGGGATACACTATAATGCAGCACTGTGTTGCTGTTGTCGTCAGCCAGGTTGACTAAGAAGGCCAGTAGAGAAGGGGTGTCCTTCTTTACTTCTCTCAGGTACACAGCCAACCTGCTGGCTACTGACGACTCCTCTGCTGCTGCACTGAACCAGTGCTGAAAACACACCACCAGGGCCTTCCTCTGCAAAAACAGAAGGCAACATAGGAACAATGCTAATAGTTACATTTTTGAAAGTTATTTTTAACTGTTAACACTGCATTGTTGATTTCGTCAAAAAATTGTTTGCGTTAATATGTTAAGCCACTGAAACTGTTTACAGCTAACATATACAGATCAACATTAGCATTTATTTAAAGTCCTGCCTCTGTACATCCAACACATTTAAGTCTGTTAAAACCTCAAACGCTCTCTTCAGACACACCTCCTATTCTTACCTCCATGTATAAATACTAAATTAATATTCAATATGATATTGCTTTATATTACATATTTATATTCATATAATTTTACAACTAAGTTTTGTTCTACAATAAGAAATGCTGTAGCTCATTAGCTTGTGAAACCTTTAATACCGGCTCTCCTTGAAGCTCTGCTCTTTTCTCCAGTGTCACATTTTACAAGCTTGTAGCTCACTTTGTCTATCTGCCATCTGTTGCTAAGCAGGTTTGGAGCTGAGGGGAGTTGCAGAGTTGAGTGATAATAATCTGCCTGTATGTCAACTTTTGTTGACATACCCCCAACCTTCTGGTTGAGAGACGACTGACCAACTGAGCCACAACTGCAATAATTCTGCTTACCATATCTTCATTGGGGTTATCCATGTTGTCCATGTGATCTTTGAGGAACTGACAAGCAGCCACAAAATCTGCAGTCACTATCCCCCTAAGGGAGAAAAATAAAGAGGAAATAGATTGATTTTCCCAAAGAATTTATTCCCATGAGATGACAGAAAACGCAGGAGCTATTCCCTGAAGAGTAAACATCGGATAACATTTTCCAAACATCACTATAAGCTGGTGCTGCTGTAATGCACAAATTTCCCCCACGGGGGATCAATAAAGTTTATCTTTATCTTTATAAGACTGTAGTTCCAGTCCTCTCACCTGGCCCCAGTGGTGGTTTCTGAGCCTGAATGACCCTCCATCTGTTCTCCTGGGGACCTGGGTTTCATCTTGGCTGTTTTCTCTTGAGTCTCAGCTTTGACAGACGCTTCAACTCCATCTGTCTGCCTGGATCCAACTGCTCCTGATATCATCTCTCTGTCTGGGCTCATTTGCTTCTTTTCGTCCATCCATCTCTTGCCTGGGTCAGCGTCCACCTGGACATCAGCCATCTCCCAAGGGCTGATGATTCCCTCCTTCTGCTTGTGCTGGTTCACACTGTGCTGCCCATCCAGATTTCCTCTTGAGGTTGTTTTGTAAAAAGGCAGAGCAGAAAAATGATGCAGCTTTCTTGCAAGTTCATGCCTTTAAAAATAGACATTTGTATTTTCCTTTGAAGATTCACAGACTCAGCAGTCAGCAATAAAGACAGTTTTAACATCTCCCCTCCTTAGTTGCTGAATTGGCAGTTTAGAAACAAGTAACTATATCTCTTCCAACCAATCTGACTCAGTCAGAGACAATAAAAAGGCTCATTGGACACTCTGAAAAATGACAAAACTGAACTCATATTTTGGGAGTCACCGCTTTCTTGTCTCTTTAATGACAACTTTAAAGGGAGTGGCAGTCCTTCATTGTTTTTTTCTCAGTCAAATGACAGTAGCTAAAGTAACCTCACCTATAACTATGGTTTCAAGCAATAATCATAACTACAAAGGTTGCTAATGTCAGAGTGCTATTTACTAACCTTTCATTAACGCCCCCAGAATGTGGGCTTTCAGACATCAAGTAACATCCATCTGTCCTCATGATGGATTTAGAGGCTACATTGAAGACAAACACAAAAATTACAATGAAACATTGAACTTTTCACAGTAAAAGGTAACATGTGAGTCTATTGTTAACACATGAGCATCATAATGTTGCCTTAAAGGCTTAATATGCGATTTTGATCCAGCAGATGTCACCCTTGAGCCCCAGCATGAAACCAAAACAACTTGCGCTGCATTGTTGTGTTAGCATGCTAATGCTAGAGATCTTTATTATGCTCGTATCTTCACACTGCATGTAAATTTACCCGAAATGAGCGTGATCTAGAAACACTTATATGACATTCAATTAAGCAGTGAGTACAGTATGTTATTCTTCTTTTCTCTAGTCCCTCAATTAAATAACTTTTATACACGAGGGGATGAGCCGGCCGGCTGGCTGCAAACAAACTGAAGATAGGACTCGGAAAGCTCGGAAAACATCACAGACAGTGGGACTCGGGTGTTACACCCATTGTAGACAGTCATTACGCACAGAGTTATTTTCAGAGGATATACTTGATTTCTCTTATATTTAAGTGTGAAAAATCGCAGATTAAGCCTTAAATGGTAGCAGATCTAGATTTTCAATATTGACTTTTGTTTTCTTTTATTAATTCCAGACGTCTTTAATGTGAGACATATGTAGATATACAACTTTTAAGAAAGATTTCTGAAGAGATTCAATGTTCCCTTACTGAAATCATTCAGAATTTTTGGTTAACCAGCAGCAAAAGTCCCCCCATAAACTGGCCCTTATTTGTGTCTTGGTACAGCTTTTAGGTTTCCACGGTTGTTGGCATAGGTACCAATTATAGCTCTATTTTCATCCATGACAGAAATTTGGACAACCCTTTGGGCCCCTTCATATATACTAGCTTGATCTATTTAATGATTGAATTAGGTTTTAAAGTAGAAAGTAGAAATTTGGATTTCAGTCTAGAATAATCTGTGTATTTACAGTAAATATTTATTTAAAAAATGTTTTGCACTTTCAGTAAAGAAATTGCCCGCTGTGTCTTGAGATCACTCGTTTTTAGAGAAACCATATTGAATACACTTCTCTCAGACATTCACATTTGCTATTTCAGCTAAGCAGGAAGGGATTTTGGAATCCTCAAGAAGATGAAAGTGAAACAAAAAGATTAAATCAGTGTAAACACATGCCCTGAGACAAACAGACACACTCCTTTCAACATAAAGCTCATTGAACTTACTTATCTGTAATATGGATGACAAGGAAGTAAAGCATGTTTGAAGTTCAAAATGTGGTTTTTCAGTTATTTAAAGTGATGTAAATTGCTTAATTTAACCAATTGGTTGCGGTTTGATGCTGATTTAACCTCTGAAGGGGACAGTCGATATTTCAGTGGATTTCCAGATAACTGATAATGGATATTAGTGAAAGTGTCTTCTTCTGTGTGCTAGTAACTTTAACTATCAACAATACAGTGGACGGATGAGGTCTACAACCGGATTGTCATGTACAGAGACCTGTTGGTAGCTATTAATAGAAAGCTAATCAGAGTCAGAATGCATCGCCCTAAACGCACGCTTGATGACTATTGCTCTCCACTTGGACTGTTTTCCACGTCCCACCAAACTCAGCTCAAACGTGATTGGTCAAAAGAAGTAACAGACACCAGAACTCTTCCAATCCAAAATCTTCAACCTACAGAATATCCATTCACATGAAGATGTTTGTTTCAATAGATAAATTACAGTCCTGCAAGGTAGTCAGGATTTAATCACTGAAATGATAAAATATACGTTATGTGGAGTACAATACCTCCATGTTGACTCCTCTCATCATCCCTGTTTCCATGCTGGGTGTAATAGGAGGTGAGGATGTCAACAAGTCCTATCATCTCCTGCTGCAGAGAGTTGACTTTAGGATCTGGGTGCTTTAGAGGCTTACTCTCCTCTTGTGAATGATGGTCTGAACACAGACACTCCCACTGCTGATCCAGGAGCCGCTTGATCTTCTTGACGTGGTGCATGACCATAGCTGTTTCTGAAGCCCCTATATGTCCAACGGACTCCAATGAGCTCTTTTCAGAGGAATCAGAGTCTTTTCGTGGACTTAGTTGTTCATTTGTAAGAACCGTTCTTGCAGAGTTTGATGCATATTGACTTCTTGACACTTGATTATTTGGTTCAATGGCTCTCACCACTGTTTCATCTCCATCCTGGTCTACCACCACTCTCTCTGCACGGACCCAAACTCCAGGATTCCTGACCAGATGCTCAATCTTTTCCTCCTTTCTTCTGCTCTCATCCTGCTGTTCCTTTAGCAGTCCTAATGCTCTCTGTAGCTCCAGGCCAGTCTCATGAAGCTTCTGCTCTAGTACAGCTACCTTGGCCTGCAGGGAAGTCACTGTCAGCAGCTCATCCAGATCTGTACTAGTCCTCCACTCATGTGATGGATTGGAGCATTCTTGATGGAAACCATTATTTCTAGGGAACATAAGGTGACTTTCATGTCGTGGCCTTTTGATGTCCGATATATCATAGTGGATTGAGTCTGTGCTACCATTAATTGAAGGAGTTCGGATATTTTGATTCAGGCCCAAATGTAGTCTTTCCCTTTCCTCCTGAAGGATACAGATCTGGGCCCTGAGCTCTGGAATTACCCTCATCTCCAACTCAAGCTCTCCCACACGTTCAAGGGCCTCTGTCAGGCGCCTCAACAACTCTGAGCAGTCCTGGGGTCGAGGGCTTGCTGATGAGTAAAAGACGTCTTCACAAGAAATATTCCTTTCTTCAAGGTTATCCCTGGAACTTCGGAGGCTTCCAGGGTCATCGGTGGACTCTGATCCCTGTCTCAGCAGTACTGTAAGTGGAAGACTTGAGGCACGGAGGAGATGAGGTCTGATGTGTTCACCTAAAGGTTGCTCATCAAACTCCTTGATTCTGGCTTCCATCTCCGCCAGGGATTTGAGCCCTGTAGGAGAAAGTAGCGTCCTGTGATCATTTGCCCAGGATATGTAGTTGTGATGATAGGTATCTGATAATTTGGACCTAGGGCCAAGAGCTCCAGTAGAACCCCAGGGACTCGGGCGGTAGCCACACGCAGAAGGGTTGAGGTTCCTGGGTAGAGTGCTTGCCCTTGGGCCCTTGTTTCGACGCTGGATGGGGACTCTTTTGATTGTGTTACCCTTCTCTATGTCATCCACATATTTCAGGAAGTCCAGATCAAGTTGGAAGCCATAAGGGGTTTCTACCGAGTATGGGGGCTTCCCTTTTATTCCATTTTCCGTTGGTTTATGTTGTCTCTCCATCATCTCTCTGTCTTCAGTTGTCCAAGCAGTTTGCTGTCACATTATCTGTTTGGACCAGTGGTATCTGAAAAAACACATTCAAGGTTGAATTAAATCAAAAACACATTTGATTTAAAAACACACAACTTGTAGGGTATTATTACATGTAGCAGTCTTGGTTATTATGTTATCTAATAAAATAATGAAGCCATTCATAAATTCCAAAGGGGCAAAGCAGATACATTAAGGCACTAACTCACATTAACTTAAGGTTTACTTGTGATATTTTTTGTTGGAGATTAGCTCTCAAATTTATATCCAGATGGGGGAACACTCAGTACAGCAGTCGTCTCTTTTTGTACTCCAAATTGTGCCGCACAGCTCTACACAAAAACATCAAATTACGCTCTCTTTTTCCCTCCCATTCCCTTTTTTTTACCCAAAGACTTCTGTTTTTCTCACACTCTCCCTGCTTCATTTCTTCCATGCACTAAGACAGCTATTATTCAACAGTGGCAGACCCGAGGTTCCCTTGATTACAGCCCTGCCATCCAGGATGAGGGCTGAAAATAGCTCTGGACCGTACAGCCCAGCAGCTATGGCCAGCGGAGAAAAAAGTATACTCCTACAGACACAAAAACAGACAACCATTGTTGTGAGTCACTACTTTCCTCTCATTCTGCGCTCCCCTTGCATCCTATTTCAAAACCTCAGTTCAAAAATCAGTTTAATAAGTAAACCATACTTATTAAACTGAGTAAGTTTCTCGTGTCTGTCACGTTTTTGCTTGCATAAATTTAAAGTATTTGACTATATCGTCTTCAGATACTAGTATATTCTAGTATTCATAGTAGTTAATTCAATAAAAAGTCATTGTTTCTCTTACCTCTAAGTGACTCTCCCTTTCTCCAGCCCCTCCACCCCCCTCTCCTGACCACCAGCCTCTGTGGCAGCTCATCGTCCTCTCAAGACACCACAGCCACCGAGCCACAGCCCCAAACAATGTCAGCTATGCAGTAAACAGACAAACACCACCAAATGGGCCTGCTGGGAATTCTGACCTCCATCATTCACATACTCTCTGATGGACGGCAATAAACAGCAAGAAATCCTTTATAAACAGACATGGACCTACACATTTTCACAAGCTAAGAGGGGTTAACACTGACATATATTTGTGTCTATTTGAAGTAAAAGACATGTGCATTTAATGTGCAAATGTGTGTTAGACGCCTGTCCCCTGTCTAGTATATTGTCATTACTTGTTCTCAGAAAAAAGAAAACAGGTCATTAAAGATAATGATTGACATTCCAGTAACACTTAAATGCTACTTCAGGCTTTGTTATTGTTTAACATTTTGGGTTATTATAGCCTACATAGATGAAAACCTATTCTGTTGGTAAGTGGCTGAAGATTCTCAGTCAAAGAGGTGACGGACTTGGTTGAAGGTCTTAAAGATATTTCCCCTCTTGTTTCATCATTTCTTTGATTCAGACATGTTCAAGAACTTTAACCAAGTCCATCTGCCTTTTGGATTAAATTTGAATTCTCTTCTAAAGAGGGCTTTGGATCTGTTTAACACACTGAGATATCATGCAGTTTTATAATGACTCAATTTGGGAAACTCCACTTATCTAGTAGATAAGAACACTGAACTTATTTGTCATGATCTATAAACGTTTTTTTAACAAAGCACAACTCCATCTGACTGTCTGTTCTGTTGCTGTTACAGAAACCTAATACATGTGTTATACATTGAACCTGATACAGTTTGTATGTTGTTATGCCAGTAGGGTTTTATGATGTTGAGAGGAATGTGTCAGCACTTCAGCTGACAAGTCTAAGTTTAGCCTATACATGTGGGTGTAAAGCTAAAGCGTATGCCATGAGCCAACACACATACTTTTGTTTTTATTTTACAAACTAGTATTGGATTAATCAGTTGGATGTCTTTTGGATGTACTTAGAATCAGCGAGACACAAGATTATCTTTTTGTTATGATGATCAAGGTCTGGAGGTTGTACGATAGTTAGATCAAACAAAGAGAGTAGTAATGTTAGCAAAGGCCGTATTCAAAGCAACTTAATCAGCCCTGTACAGCAGAGCACCTGTCACTGCAGACATCTCAATAAGTCTCTGCTCAGACATGACTATGAAAATGCAAGCCATGACTGCAGTTCAACAGAATGGAAAATGTTCAGTAGACAGACATACCGGTACTTTGAAGTTAAAAAAAAAAAAAAAGGGGGGGGGGGGGGGTTCTTGAAATTAAAAGTATACACTCAAGATTATGGGGAGAGTAAATGTGGTAACATAAATGATATAAGATGTTTCCTTAAAGGGGACATATTGTGAAAAAATCCACTTCTACAGTGTTTTTGAACATATATTAGGATAACCTGAGTGTCTACCAACCCACAAAATGTGAAATAAATCCATCCAGTCCTTTCTTTGTAGTCTGTATAAGTCTTACAACATAGAGAAAAATGCTCCGTTTCAAATTTGCTCAACTTGTGATGTCACAAGTTTAATGCCCCTTCCCTCCCCTGACATCTCCACCAATGGACTTCATCCCCAGCCTACAGCAAAACTGTTGTGCAGGTCCGCCATTTTTATTCTCGCTACAGAGGAGTGATGTCTACCGGGAAAACTTAGGGGGGCTCATCGCAACGGAGCGTTCTGAGAGAGCTGGTTTATACAGGGTCACAAACCTCCTCTGGTGCTTGATTCATGTTATATTTTGATCAAAGCACAACACAAATGTTTCATTTAGACCACAGGGGACTGTTTGAAAAGGTGGAAAAGGGCTATAATATGTCCTCTTTAATGTATAGACAATAACATTGATACTTTTGGTAGTCTTGAAGCTAGAGAGGAACAGATAGCTCAGCTTAGTTAGCATAATGACTGTTAGCAGGGCAAGCAATTAGCCTCTCTTGTAATGAGACACAAGCTCTTGTAAAATTTCAGCAACACATAATTTTAGCTGTTTTTGAACAAATTACAAATAACGTGATCACTGTAGGTGCTTGTCTGCTTATCTGTGTAGCCTATACAGCCCAGTTAGCTGCTAATCTCCTGGCTGCTGCTCCATATCTGTAGGATGAAGTATCAGTCTTTTCAACTCTCTCAGCCAGAATTAGAATCTGCGCAAAAAAATACATTACCACTTCTTTAACTTCACATCAGTCTACTAATTCTCAAAAAAACATAAGAAGGGAGTGCCAATAGCCTATGTCGGGCACCCCATGTACAGAGGCTATAATCCTCATCGCAGTGGCTGTGGGTTTGAATCCGTCCTTGGCCCATTGCTGCAAGACATCCCCTGCTCTCTCCTCCCAACACTTACTGTCTCTCTTCAGCTGTCCTATCAAATAACGGCAAAGCGGCTTTAAAAAAGAAGAAAAGAAAGCTGTATATTTCACATTACAATACACACATTTGTAAGCTATATACTGCATGCTCTCACAAAAATGAAGTGAAATCCTTTGCTATATCCCACAAGTTTCATTAGTATAAAAATAGACATACTTTTAAATGTATTTCTGACCAGGTTACCACAAAGGAAACAATCTTGCAGAGTTAGGGTTTAGGCAATTCCCAAGAGTCATTGCCTAACTCTCCACATTTCTGTGGCACAGGTTTTAATTGTATATGCTTGGAGCAGTAGGCCCACCTCACAGGAAACCAAAGAAATGAAACGTAAAATATTTGCCTTACCCCAGACAGGCCCCAGCCAAACAGCACAATGCTAGAGTACTGCTGCCTGCGCACACATTGAATTAAAACTCAAGTTAGGTATTGGAGAGAGTCTGATGTTTTCTTATGACAAAAAAAAGTTTTCCTTTGTATTCATCTGAAGTTCTTGTAGTATTTCAGTGAAGGGAATGTCAAAAACATTTTAAGCAAACTTCATGTAACAAATCCCACAATAGCTTACATTGTCAAGTGGGTGAATGTGTCCTTTCTCACACGGACCTTTGAGCTCCCTGCATCAGCGCAAACCACATAATCACAACATCTCAATCCACAACATTCTTTACCAAAGCCACAAATTAAATATGAACTCATGACACAGAGAGATGGGCGACCTCTCAATGAGCAGTGATACATGTTTGAACAGCAGCTTGGATGAAATAACTAATTCGGTTTATGGCTGATTTCTTTAGCTAAATGACTGATATCAATATAAGGATACTAATGTCAGTGGGTCAGAAAGCCACTTTGATTAAGATTAAAACTGTCTCAACAATTCCTTGGAATACTATACAAAATGTGGACATTCAAAAGGAAGACACCTACAAACTTTAATGGTCACTCTCACTTTTTATTTAGTTCCCCTTCAGATTGACAAAAGAATACTGAAGGTACAGTATGTCCCTACATTTGGTACACACATTCATGGCACCCTTACAAAGAATTATAATACTTTAGTGACTCTTTCATCTCTATTAATAGTTACTGTGTACAGAATCTGGAAGCAAGGGACTCATTTCTTTGGGTGCTAGAAGGATCCTGATTTGAATTCCGAGTAGTATAGTCCATTGGCATAAATGTTGGCATTGGTTGCATGCAGAAAAACAGTCTTTTTAGAGTGCCAATGAGGTAATTGAGTGGTTGTAATATAGTTCTGGTACCGATTGGTTATCATCTGGTGATGACTTAGCAATTAATTAATCTCCTTAAAAGGACAACAGTCCATCATGTCTTCTCTCTCTACTCCTTGTTCTCAAGTGCTGGCAGACTGTAAACAATGATCACCTCATGGAAAAGGAAGTCTTGGCCCTTTAATCCTTTACCTCTGAATATATTGCTGGCAACACCAGGGGCCCTGAAATATTGGATGCTATTTCATTGCCCATTGTTTCCAAGATGATGATCCTTTGACTTTTCATCAAGCATCAAATTTTGAAATAAAGTTCTTGGAACGGACTAATACTTGTTTCCCGTCAATTAAAAACACTTCACTCTACATGTCTTAAGTCCACACACACACACATGCACACAGATGGCACAGCCAGTAGAAGCCATGTTTGGGTTCAGTATCTTGCCCAAGGACACATGAGGACTGGAGAAGCCAGGAATAAAACCCCCTGATCTTGAGTAGACGATCCACGCTACCTACTGGCCATGTTTTGGGTCATGACTAAACGCTGGAAAAGCTAATGATATCATTTGAATCAGCTTTACTTTTTGTTCAGTGTTAATTATCACTTTGTGTTGGTGCTAATTAGCAAACAGCATGCTTCAGGTGTGTTGAACAAAACTGTGGGGCCTATGCTTTATTTTGATAGCTATTTATTCTCTTTCATTGTGGATCCTTCACACATGAAGGCTCTGTGTGCTGTTCCCCCCTCTTTTCGCAATCTGACACCCTGGATGCCAACACAAACAGGCTGAAAACAGTAATTGTTTTACATTGTTAGCCAAAGGCACCAGTGTACTAAGTTAAGCCTCCAAGAGCTGAAGAGTCATTTTTTTAAATGAATACAAAATGATTCATGAAACGTCTTCTGTGTTCTTGTTGTTATGGGTTCACTCAGGGTTAACATGCAGAGCTGTCAGTATGTTATCTTTGTCCCAGCCACCCACATAATTATACTGTGTGTTTTGTTTGAAAAAGTTTATATCAAAATTGTAATTCGTGGATTCCTAACCTTAAGAAAACTTCAACAATTACATTTAACAATTAATTATTAGATTTTTCTGATTTCCGCCATCTGCCTCTCTTTTTTTTTCCTGTCCCTCCATTGGTACAGTATGTAATTCTACAAGTTTCCCTGTCTATGTTGTTGTTCCCGGAAAAACCATTCGTCCCCTCAACTTTTTGGCTACTGCCTGTTATTTCCTTCCAGCGCATAACTCTAAACCTTGTCTTCTGTTCAGAGTTGATATAGAAATCGAAGCCAACTGTTTGGACTCAGATGGAGCAGCAGGGGAAAAGCGAGCCTGTCTGTTTTTCTCCTGTTAGACTCACATTTCTCACTCGCTGTCTCCATAAAGACTTCTGAGAAATCCCTCAAGTTCTGTGATCTTTTTTCTGCTCAAATGTTTTCATCTTGCGATTTTGGACCACTGGAGATGTCCAACAGCAACAGGGTCAGGGTTACATTGTGGCATCTGAGCCTCATTGGGTGGTATGTGGAGCCAAAGCCTTTTGGATGAAACAGCTGCCGGGGCTTCACGCAAGGAAGAAAGCTGTGGTATGTTAACATGGCAAGGTTAAAATAGAAAGTCTGCTGCTTTGTGTGTGTTTGTGTGTGTGTGTGTGTGTGTGTGTGTGTGTGTGTGTGTGTGTGTGTTGCATGTCTGTAGCTTGCTTATAAAAATAAAGTAATTGAGATGTAAATGTGGTTAAACATTTAATCTCTTTAGGGCAATGTTTTATTCCTCAAGGTCTGATTAGTATTCAGTACAGGCCCAGAGTTTCACTCTACACAATTTATAAAATCACTTACAAGTCAAAAGCTTTCCTGACCCTGAATTAAGATCAGCCCATCCCGTTATTGAAGACTTTCAAGGTCAGCATTCAGCATCTCTGCTTTGATTAACTATCCAATCCAATAGTCCTCCTCTGGCTCAGAGATTTAAGATGAATATTTAACCAGGACTTACCTTGTGACATGTGCTCAGGCTGTTTCCTCCACTCTGTCTTGCTGATGTGAGGGTGTGTTTGTCTGACAGTCTGCTCTCAGCTCAGTTCAGCTAGTCCTCCTGTCTTCTGAGGGGCAGGGAGGTGCCTGAATGGAGAGTGGCATGTCCTGGCTGTTTGGAAAGTGCCAACGTGCAGCAGCCCCTGCTGTAACAGAAGCTGGGTTTGCTTGTGTGTAAAAGAGAGCACAGTGCAGGGAGGGGTTTGTGAACATGCCTTCCTCTAGTACAATCCATCCAACGAGACTGACAAGTGGGAGGGTAGACATACAGACGGCACTCTCCTTCAAACGGCAGCCAATAGGAGCTCAGGAGGTGTAGCCGGCTGGGTAAGACAGCAGCTCTTCTGGGATGGAGGTGACAACATGTCAAAATATGGAGCACCTAGGAGAAAGTACAAGAGTCACTTTACTGTGTACCGTCCATGATCCTCTCAGATAACACTAGTGACTCATCGACCCCCCTCATTCAGAATGTGTAACCCTATCCCTTGAAATGTGGTCTCTGCCCCCTATAATCAAAGAAATAGGGGGGAGAGCAGAGGGCTTGGTGGCATTCATGGGGGTTAATTCTCTCAATGCATACCTCTCATACTTTTGGATCTTCTTTTAAACTCCTAACCAGCATCCTCCTTTGGGGCACCAGCAGCATGCCAGAAAAGTCTTTCCTCATCTCCATATACAGGCTGTGGATAAATGTGTTGTCATTTGTCAACAAATTGACGTGAAAATTGCTTCATTGGCCATGCTAGTGGCATAGTTGAATGAACCATAATGTCTGTATTTGACAAACTATTGGCCATTCCATAGTTATGGTTCAGACCAAAGTATCTAATGAAGTATGGGATAGATTTATAATACATTTTGCACATTCATTTTCCCCAAAAGATAAGATTTCCAAACTTGTTCTGACACCTGTGGGCCAAAGATTTTATTTGTAGAGTCCATCTGAAAAGTTATTCCCACCAAATCAAGTAGAGAATTTCATGGTGGCTACATATTCTTTACAGTTTAAGGTCCCCAGAAATCACCTCCAAATTTGTCCTAAAGCACTAGAACTCCACAGTCTTGACATTTACTGGTCAGTTAACAGTCATACTGACATAAGGGACCTGAGACGAGTCAGATTGTTTTTAGAGACATTCATGGATCCCAGAGGATAAAGACCCTATATAGACCCTATCGATCTCCCAGTCTTTTTTGTGGGTAGTCACCAGTGCATCAGCGTTAAGGTTTATCAGGGAAATATCTCATTATTTTAAATATGGAAGTACAACACAACACTTTCAGAAGATGTTCATGTTCCCCAGAGGATAAAGCCTCCGTAACCTATCGTAACTGATCTCCTTGAGGGACCTCTGTGGCTCGAAGTTAGTTTACCAAATAAGATATCCCAAAATGAATAGATTGACTGACTCTTAAGTTTGTAAAGACATTTCATTTCCCAGTGCCATTATTTACTGAAGCCAGTGAATCAAGGTTTTGGGTCTTAAGACAAATAATCCATCATTCACCAATTGGCCTCACACAAAGCAGCTGTAAAATCCATTGTATTTTGTAGGCCATCTGGCATTTCCTACTTTGAAAATGAACATTTTAGCAGTGTCACTGTCATGCTGACTGTACTTATGTAATTAGTGTGATTCTCTAGCTTTAAACCATGATAATACCAGCATGCTGGCATTGTAATTGTGAGCATTTTATCATGGTAGTATAGACATTTAAGCACAGTTCAGCACAATTTAAATTCACACTTGGACCTTTTCCCTTCTTTCTGATTCTGTATGAATACAGATCATCCTTTTTTCTCTCATTCACTCCTACAGTTTGTCTTCTAGCGTGAATGGAAATGTTTTTCCAATCACGTATTGCCCACAGTATGTGCCATACAGTGAAAACCATTTATGACAGTCTCTCCAGCTGGTAGCATCCGACTTGAGCTCTACTTGAGAGTAAAATAAACTTTGCAATTTTGAAAAATGTAAGAAAAGATGGAGTGGGAGAGCCTCGAAAAGAACTGCAACCACCGCCTTGTGCCCAACGACGGATGGAAAAGGAATTAGCAAGAATTAGCAAGAAGTACTCCTTTTCCATTACCCGAGCAGACAACTGACTCCGAAAGGGATTGTGGTTTGACTTAAGCTACAGAGAGAGAAAAACAGTCTTTATTGGACCAATGACTGCTTACGGACTGACCACATACTGCAGAACACTTGGCTGAAAGGCAAAAATGTTCTCCAAGGCTAGTTTCACAGAAAGATTTAGAGCTGCATTACATTTGAAGAGAAAAGAGGGTTATAAATGTACTTTGTACATGCTTAAAATATTACTTGAGAAATGAGTTGTTAACTATGAACTCTCAAAAAACATGTTTTGGGCCCACAACGTCGAATGAATGAGGCACAAGGCGTTTTTCTTAAGTGAAAGCGTTATTACTAGTGCAAGATGCCTCCTGCTGGAAAGTATAGCTGGAGGCAAGTTAAATATGCCAAGAGGAAGGATTCTGTTGTAGCAAAAATCACTTGAGTTTTTGAGAAGCTGCATGGATTTCACTGTAGTTTCTGTTGTTGAAATAATCAGAGTATTTTACATATGCTGTTTCTCTATCTGGACAACTGTGCTGACGCAAAACAGAAAGAAAAGTTCAGTCGTTGTTCAGTCCACCTAAAGGTCCCTCACAGGCCTCATCTCCCCTCACTCTGCGCTGTTATATAACTGGCTTGTGGTCAGGGGAGTTACAGGTTGGGCTACTGCGGCATTGGCCAACAGAAACAGTGAAATCATGTAACTGTGACCTATGGATCAAGCCCATCCCTTTGACCAGAAGGCCACAGACCCTTGACAACCTGGGATTATTTAGAATTACAGATGTTTAAATCCAAAGAAAGACAGCTGGAGTCCATACTGTCCAAGTTTACAACGAAGCTGAAGTTTCTATTAGTTCATATGTAAGTAGTTAAGGTCACAAAGTAGTTCACAAATTGAAAAGGAACTACAGTAAAAACAAAAGTGAAGAAAGAAAGACAGAGACAATTAAATATAACCTATATACCTTAAAACTAAGGAACTACAAATACTGCATACAAATAGTCAATAAAAAATGTACGTTCATTTTTGGCAGCAGCTAAAGACATAACAGAGAAAGCATTTAGTATTACAGTTACTATAACAGCTTGTTCTTTTGGCCAAGACTTTAAAAAATCCCAAAGGTAATGTAACGAAACTAAATCTTAATAAGTTTGATTATCGTCTGTTTTAAATGTCACTGTCATTATCTGCTTATAATGGTAGACTGCACAGGGAAATGTCTCTATTTGAAAAACCAAATCACTCCAAAGTAAATAGCACAAAGCAACCAAAAGATTTTGAAAATATTTTCCATCTCTAACAACATTGAGAATGAGCAATGTAGCTGAGAAAATAAGCCCTCAGGTGCATTTATGTTGCCCTCGAGCTCGAAGCAGCTGGTGAGGTCTGAAAAGAATCTATGACTGCATTACATCACCACAAGAGGGTTTAAAACCATTAGGTTTGGACTTTAGGTGGAATCACTTACACAATTTCTTTTTTGAACAAATCACTCAGAGCTTCTTCAGTTCTCCTGAAAATGTATTTCCATAACTAAAAATCACTGTGCAGTTAGACAACTTACTCTAAGGTATATTTGAGGACTGTTTTGCTGTCTGCAAAAGGACACTATTGAAGTACCAGTATATAGGGCATTGGGGTCCAAAGAGGACAAAACAAAAGCAACAAAAGCAAATTTTAACTTCAGATGAGAAGCATAGTGGAATAGCTTTCTTAATGCTAAAATAATGTACAATGCATTTGGTTGTTTGTCAGCTCCTGTCAGCATACATTTCAAACAGGGGTTCCAAATTGTAGTAGATAATTCCTGTGTCAATACTTCCTGGTTGAGGGGGGCAGGCCAAATAAAAGATTCCTGAAACCTTTTGCCAGTCAGGTGACCTGAGGCCTCTTTTTTATTGGTGTGTCTCGAAGCTGCACCCCACTTTCTTTGGCATCAAATTGGTGTTGTTCTAACGTTATGTCCTCTACTCTGATTGGACAGTTGACTTAGTCTGTCATGTTCACATATTTTTCGAACAAACTTTATTAACACAATGCCATTAATAATAACCACAGACTCGCAACTATTACTCCTGACCTTTACTCAACTGAGCAACCAACGACACTCCTGTGTTACAGACTGTAGAGATTCTAAGAAACTATTATCATCAACATCCCGGTCCATTGGTGAGATATTCCACCAGCCTTCACCGTCTAATGGTATCATAAAAATAAAGCAGTAACATGTACTAAAGAAGCAAAATGTCCAATATTAAATGATCTAGTAAACAAACGATGTTCTGCCTTTTTCTGACATACGCAGAATGCTCAATGGTCACTGGCTCACTAACTCTCCTCCCTTTGTTTACCACACATGCCCCCTGAACTCCTCAGGGCCCCTTCACTGTATGTTTTAACTCTTTGAACTCAGGCCGCTGCTGTTCTGTCACAGGTTAACCTGATGTGCACCTACAGTTTCTTCTTACATTGAACGTTCTGACTTCGCCCACTGAAGTCAGAACTGTGGACAGTCTTTGATGTGTTCATGCTAACCTGCTTTCATATGTGTAGTTAACATTTAACAGATGAGGCCAGGAGTTAATACTAAACTAATACTACTGGATAGTGCACTAGACCTGTCAACCATGAGACTTTAGGAATATAGAAGATATTTTAGAAGTCTCTTCATACATTGAATTTTCATGTATTCAATTTTAGCTGAATATTTCTTTGTATAATGTCTTTATATTATTTTGTAGCTCTATCCTCATTTCTGCCATTCTACTGTCTTTTTGCTTTTTGACTTGTTTGTTATAATTTTTGTCTTTGGAGATCGGATTTCGAATAGTGCTTTCTAATTAAAGCTTATAATGATCAGAAGTACAGGAGGGAGTATTAGGGTTGTCTCCCAGTTTGAAGATTTAAAAAAAGAAGAAAAAAACACAAACAATTTTTTTTTTTTTTTTTTTTTTACTTTTTTTTTCCTGGAGAGGAAACAGATTAATAAGTGGTGAAGGGTATGTTTCCTTTACCAAACCACCGTGCGTAAGAGGTGTGTTGAACA